GGGAAACCAGTTCAGACTGGGAGGAAACCAGTTCAGACTGGGGGGAAACCAGTTCAGACTGGGGGGAAACCAGTTCAGACTGGGAGAGAACCAGAACTGGTTCTCTCCCAGTCTGAACTGGTAAACCAAGGTTTAGCTGCATCCTTACTGATGATTCTCCAGTTCATCTCCAGTATTTTTATAGTTTTTTTCTCCAAACTGGGATGTTTAAATGTTTGGTGTTTCCTGTGGGAAGTTTCTGTTTCCTGCCTGGTTGACCTTTTGACCTCTGTCCCTAACCGGCGTCCATCTTGGTTCCAGTGGCCAGCTGCGTGGTGGGCTTCCTGATCGGCCTGCTCTTCACGCAGCGCTGCGGGAACTACTTTGTGACGATGTTCGACGATTACTCCGCCACTCTGCCGCTCATCATCGTCGTCGTGTTCGAGACCTTCAGCGTGTCGTGGCTCTACGGCGCCGACAGGTGAGGCTGCCGCCGCCTCGGCGCGCTGCGCTGACGCCGCCACGTTGACGCCTCGGCGCGCTGCGCTGACGCCGCTACGTTGACGCCTCGGCGCGCTGCGCTGACGCCGCCATGTTGACGCCTCCGCCGGTCTCTGGTCTCCCTCCAGGTTCCTGGACGACATACAGGCCATGCTGGGCTGGAGGCCGTCGGTGGTCTACAAGTACCTGTGGAAGTACGTGTGTCTGGTGGCCATGCTGGGGCTGCTGGGCGCCACCACCGTCCGCATGTTCATGGAGACGCCGACGTACATGAGCTGGAACCAGGAAACGGTACGCAGCGGGTCAGAACCGCCTTCAGGGGATCTTTAAAAATCACCAATAATCAGAAACCAGAACAATCTGTTACACGCTTTACTTCCTTCCTTCATTTCTTTTCCTTTCTTTCCATTTGTGAAACAACAAAGTCAAAGTTGTTTCTGTACGTTATAATCTGAACACAAGTGCACACCGCACTTTTCAGATTTTATTAGCATCATAAACGACGTGTTTATTGAATCTGCCGAAATGTTGAAGTTGTTGTAGCAAAGGAGGAAAACATGAAAGCTGAAGTTTTAAAACTTCGTTTTTCGTCTCGTCTGGTTTTTCCGTCTGATGGATGTTTTGTTTTCCAGGCGTCGGAGGTCCGGCTGCCGTACCCCGGCTGGGCTCTGGCGGTTCTGGCCCTGCTGATCGTCTTCGCCATGCTGCCCGTCCCGGTCGGGTTCATCTACTCGGTTCTGCAGGACCGCAGGCGGCCGACCAGCAGGCACACGGAGGCGGGTCTCTACCGCATCGTTAACTTTGACGAAACGCCCATGACGGACATGACCGACCCGGACCGGACCGACGACCCGGACCGGACCGAACCGGACCACCGGAACGGCTTCACACCGTCTGAGTCTTAGAGATTTACACGACGCAGGATTAGGGCCGGACTAAGAGATTATTTTTAATTACAATTAAAAAAAATCATAATATTACCAGAATAAAAGTCGCAAAATTAGGAGAAAAGTCGTTTTTCAGATATTCAAACCCTTTTTGAATATCTTGCTGAATATCAGATTTGCGGTAGATTGTGACAAAATATTTTAAATAAATGATTTCCCCTTTTTGTCTGGACAGTAAATCAATAACAAATCGTAATAGACGTGGTCAGTTTCAATCAGTAAAACATCTGGTTGAATATTTGGAATATTCCAGGTTGAATATTCCGGGTTGAATATTCCAGGCTGGATTTATTTGTTAAACTTTCGTTCCAGAATATAAATTCCCCAGATGCTCAACGTTCCTGTGTTGGAGTTATCCTGGAATCACTTTATTCCGTTTTTATCGCAACATTCCAACGTTTTTTCCAATCAGTAAATTTTTTTTACTACGATTTTTTTCATTTCATTACAACTTTCTCTTATTATTATAACTTTTTTTACAAATAACTTTGTCGTGACTATTCTGGTAATATTTCTCTTTTTTGCATATTATTACAACTTCTGGTAATAATATGACTAAAATGTAGTTATTACAACTTTATTATTACAAAATGTTTCTCGTGTTATGATTGTTCTTACGACATTGTAACTTTTGTCGTACGACTTTTTTCTCACATTGTTGCGATTTTTATTCTGGTTTCATCTCTCTTCTTGTCTGCATTTTTTCTGGTATTACGACTTTTTTCATATGAGTTTATTCTCATAATATTACGACTTTATTTAGATAATATTGTGACTTTATTCTCATAATTATTTTTTGGCCCTAATGCTCCGTCACAGAAATGACCAAAATTCTGCCATAACAACTTTAATCCACCATTTCCGGAGCAAAAACTTTCATTTTTAAATATTTAAAACATTTTCCCCTATTTATTTTCACAAAGTTAAATTAAATCCATAAGTTTATGGATTTATTAAATTATTTTTGCAACAGGAATATCTTTTAAAAAGTTGATATTTGAGGAACTGAAACGCTGCTAAACCAACCCGTCATGATCCATTCCTGCACATCCTTGTTTCACGACTTTATGTTTTTACAAACTGATGGTTCAGAAGCGACGCAGCTGCACATCTACGACCTCTTGACCTTTCAGATGGACCTCATGAACCGAGCTGCTGTCCGCATTTCGGTTTCTGCAGCTCGTCTCTGCCAAACATTTTATCTGAATCTTCAGTTTGCCGTTTTCAGACCTGGATGTCTACGGCGCCGTAAATGTTTACACTGACTGTTACTCCAGAACAGTTTCCGCTAAGCATCGAGTTTCCCAGAGAAAACGAGAAATGTTTGTTGTTTTCACGATATATCGGTGTGAACATCGGTATCATTATCGCAATCGGTTGATGAGTAAAACCGGAGCTTCTGATGTTTATTTGTTTTGATCTTTATTCTGTTGCTGACAGAAACGCGGCGCAGAACGTTCAGCTGAAATGGTGTCGGCGGTTCTGGTCCAGAGAAAAGATAATAAAATATTTAGGCTGATACTGATATTAATCCTGCTCTTATATCCGATAACCGATATCATTTGTATCGGTACGTTTGACACTGTAAAGAGGCGTTGCGCGTGAAGACGAAGGCTCTGGCGTAAAAGAAAAAATGCAGTTAGTTGTGTTAAAATTTTAATGTTAAAATCTGTCATTAAACAGAATGTACTCCTTAAAGCCGATACCGATGTAGATGCCGATACATCATGAAGCCCTAAAAGTATTTACATTTCCTATCAGCCTCCATCTCCAAAACATTCGCCGTTTGGCTGAAACTTGCATGTGAAGCTGATGTTTTCTGCTCTCATCTACCTCCGCTACCGTCTGGAAACCAGACCTCTGCTTTTTCATTCTTCCATAACCGAACAACTGACTGAGCGATCCGCCAGCCCTGCGCCCGCTCAGCAACGGTCAGGACCCTGTTACCAACTTCACTATTTAATTCTTTTCAGAAAGAAAAAAACATCTGAATGAGCAGGTGAGACTCAAACATTTATTGGCCAGAAAACTGCAGTCAGTTCTAATATTTATTAATCTCCCAGATAAATATCAGTTATTGGCATCGGCTGAAATTAGTAAATCGGTGCTTCCTGCCCTTTGGTTCCAGGATCTGTTCTGTCCCGGTCCAGACCGGCCGCCGTTTCAGAGAGTTGGGTCTGGTTTGGGTTTCAGCCTCATGACATGGATGTGATTTAAAGTCGTTCTGCTGACTGAATCAGTCGTTTGAGCCACGTCCATGTCTGCAGTGTAAATATGTAAAAAGCAGAAACTGAAGCTAAATTAAATGAGCTTGTAGATATTTTCAGTTTCTAGTTTTATGTTTCAGCTTTTTGTGATTTTTAGTTTTTATTCTGTGATTTTTCACTCTTAATGTTTTAAACTGGAGTCACATGAACATAAAAAGCTGCATTTTAAGTGCCTTCAACATAAATAAGGCAAAACAAAATGTTTTTTGGTATTTAATGTTTTACAGCTGGTAAACAAATGTAAAAATGAATTTTCTCTGTATTTGTCGTAATAAAACTTTTGCAGCAATATCTTTTTGTTCCTGTCAGATTCTATTTTCTTCTTTTTCACTGATTTAAATTAAATGATCTGTAAGGAAGGTAGAAAACTGACCTGCAGCTGGAAGTGATGAATTTATCCAGGAAAAACTTTTTACATTTCTTTTGGTTTCAGTTGAGCAGAAAAAACTTGAACATTTCTGTGCTGGACTTTGAAAACTTTAAATGCCTGAGATTAATTTAAAAATATCCTTTCATTTTTATTTTATATTTTACACATTTCAAGCTGAAAGCTCTTTTGGCACGTCTGACGTGAATCTGAAAATTTAGTTTTTGACTTGTTGCTCAGAAAATATCCTTGTTTTATAAATAAACATTTAATTTAAAAGTTGTAGTTTTTCTAGTAAGTTTCTGACTTGTAGAGCACAGACAAGGATTTTCAAAAAACAAATTCTGGGATTAATTTTTTTCCCCAGATATTTCTGAACATTTCTAAACATTTCTGGGTTTTTGGTTGGTTTTTAGTCCTTTTCTGTCTAATCCGAGTTTTGGCGACGTTTTCCTGTCGGTTTGGGTTTTCTGCAGGATCGTGGGGTTGATGAAACGTTTCTGCTCATGTTCTCCACCGTAACACTTTCTGCTCCCTGCTGTGTGAAATCTGCTCCTTTATCTGCCTGGGAAAGAGAAACTCTGAGGTCAAAGGTCAGGAAATGAAACGCTGATGGAAAGTTTGGTCTGAAACGTGAAGCTGACTGAACATTTCTTTATGGGGAGGAGATGTTGAAACGCTCGGCTCTGTTGACGTCAGGAAAGATAATTTAAATTTGTTTCTGCGTTTCAGTTCAAAAGGTGAAACAATGTAGATTCATTTAGTTTCACTTTTATTTGGATATTTATCTACTACAGTTTTTAAACAGTTTTAACGTCTTTCAGCCAACAGTTGGAGAGAAGGAAACCACAAATATACATTATGACTAATTTAGTAATCGGTTAATATTCAAATGTTTACATTTAGAAAATGTTTGAATTTTCTGGCCGAGATTTAAAGAAAAAACACTTAAAAGGTAAAACATTTGAATATTACACACATATATATGATTATTGATTTTAAAAATCATTTTAATATTTAATTATTAAATATTTTTACTTGGAAAATAAAAGAAAACGCCGTCTTGAGTTGCTGTACTCATCACTCACCACAAGGGGGAGCGGCAGCCTTCAAATACAATTGTTCTGGTTTAAAAACTGCTTTTTAAATCTGTTCTGGTTTCAGATGCAGTTTTTATTTCTACAAACTGAAAGCTGAACTTACGGTCCATTTTCCATTAAACTGATTTCTATATTAGCTGCTTCAGTTTCAGGTTTAAACTCATTTAAAACCAGAAGAAGTAAAACAAAGATTGTCTTTATTCAAATTAAATTATGTCACTATTTATATCACCTTTTTAAAGACGATAAACTTCCCTTCACATTCATACAAAGACCCTTTATTTTGTTCTTTCTCTTTATTTTTTATCTGGTTCAAAGTGCTGCAGATCAGCGTTTAATAATCTCCGTCTCCATGACATGATGCTGCTTTTCTGCGGGATTCCCTGAAGAAATAACGACGTCTTTGGGGATTTCAGTCGTCTTGGATCCAGTCTCACTTCATTCAGCCTGAAAGGCAGAAAGAACAACAGCCAGCCAGAGGAAAGCAGCGCCTTGGTTCCTAAAACTCAGGTAAAAACTCATTTTTAATAACGCCCGGCTTTTCTTCAGAGATCTGAATGTTTGTAAGGGGAAGAAAGTCCTGCTGGATGAAATCTGGGCTTCAGTTTTAGTCTTATTATGAAAGAAAGATGAGAAACAGCTAAAACATTTTTATTAAGAGCTCATAAAAACATTAAAGGAGCGGTATAATTTAAAATCGACTTTACTTAAATTTTTTCCATCATGTTTTAATGTTTTTCCCTCATCAAAGCAAACATGGAGTTGTTTAATGTTAGAGAAATCCTTTCATCTCCATGGTAACCATTCAGCTGCTAAATGCCTGGGTGGACCTAGCCCCGCCTCCGAGACGCAGCTCCTCCCCCATTCAGCTCCTTCAGACTAGCCAGCAGAAATTAGCAAACAGCTCATTGTAGGAGCTGCTGCTGAGAGCAGCGCTGGTAAAAACGTTAAAGGGTTAATAGAGGAGCCATGTTGGGACGACTTCCTGGAGACGGAGCTTCAGGAAGAGCAGGAGCTTCTTAAAGAGACAGAGGCCCAATTTCAAGATGATAATTACAAAGACAAATGTTATTTTAAGTCATATTTGATATACAAAACTTTTTGTTCTCCATTCTGATCAGTTCTGGGACCAAAGGTGTGGAATCCAGTGGTTTACTGCATTATTACTGAAAATGTAGACAAAATGCCTCACTTTGTTTTATTATTTAGCTCAACATTTTTCTA